ACCGGTTGGGGTGAGAGAAGGAAAACAGGATAAAGACATGCTGTGGAAGAGAGACAGATTTACGGAAACATATGTGTTGTAGGTCTTTTAGGATATCAACTGAATGACTAAAACAACAAAACATTGTGGGCGTGTTTTATATAAAATCCCTTTAAGCTGAACACGATAAAAAAAATCCTGCAAATGCAGTCACACTAAAAGGTAAAGGAGATGTAGTAATGCTGGGCCTTTACATACACCACATTGACAACAGTTTGACAGTATGGTGTATATGCATTAACATTAACAAGATTTAACAACAGCCCAACAATTGTGTCCCCTGGGCTTCATCACATGGGTTTCTAGTCTGGAGAAGATATTAGGTGTGTAATGTGGAGATGGCTTTCATCTGTGTATATTGTGTAGTCCCTGGGCTGTTCCTTTCCCTCTGACCTAGAGATTTGGAATCCAGCCATAATACACCAGTTGGACATCTGTTCCCTGCCACTCTACAAATTCAGTAGAATCTTTCTGAACATTATTAATATACAATATGAAGAAGAGTCGAAACCATTATATTAGCGGGCAATATTGTTGGCCGGTATTAGTTATTGGTGTCAGCATTATAACAGCTACTGAATGAAAATTAGGAAAAGAGAGGGGTGAAACACCCTTCAACCCTGTTAGGATTGCTGTCTTTTAATATTTTTTTCCACCAGGGGGCACTCTGCAACTTCTTTGTTTTGAAGTCCCAAAGAAAACAATATTGACAGTATTGGACTTTTAAATATAGCTATCATATTTGACCAAATATTAGTATCCGTATCAGAGAGAGAAAGAGAGAGAGATAGATCCATAGCTTTAGCAAGCAAGGTTGACTCAGACTTCCCTGTTTTTGAAGTTTCAAAGTTAACAACGTAAAACAGCACTACAGAAAACAAAACAAAAAATCCAAGAAACAAACAAACAAAAGATTGAAATCTTTTCAAATATTATAGCATTTTAGCACGGTACGTGACTCAGTCTTTTACTAAATGGTAAATGGCCTGTATTTGTATAGCGAGCGCTTTACTTAGTCCATATGGATCCCATATTTGACCAAATATTAGTATCCATATCAGAGAGTGAAAGAGAGAGAGAGAGAGAGAGATCCATAGCTTTGGCGCTAAGGTTTGGAAGGCATAATCCTCTTTGGTTTTCAGACAGGTATGGAATCCCCAGTAGACCACTATCAGTGTACCTAAGGATCCAGTTTGGAGAATTAGCGTGAAGTAGCTTGACAATATAAGTGGGGGCCTCTCCTCGTAAGGCCATGACAGTACGAGTCAAGATTTTAAATTGATATCTGAAATTAACTGGAAGCCAGTGCAGACTCTTTAGCAATGGGGTGATATGAGAAAATATCACACCATTTTGGACAGCTTGACGGCGATTTATAGAAGCCTTTGACAGACAAGGAAAAAGGGCATTACAACAGGCTAATTGGGATGAGACGAAGGCATCAAGCTTCTCCAATTCACCCTGAGAGACAACAGTCCTGAGTTTAGTGATATTTCTTAAGTGAAGAAAGCAAAGAGGGCGTCAAAGATTCAGAGGTTTTACAGTGGATGAGAAAGATCCCAATAATTGTCTAATTTGGGGCTTAATGCTCTCTGGAGCCAGAATTAAACAATATCTTGTCTGTATTAAGCTGCAGAAAATTGTTTGCCATCCAACCATTAATTTCCTTAAGACAGTCCATCAGAATAGATAGTTTATCCAATTCATAAGGTTTAAAAGAAAGGTACAGCTGAATATCATCTGCATACAAACACTACTAATATGGCCTAGTGGTAGGATATACAATGAGAACAACAAGGGACTTAGAACAGATCTTTAAGTAACACATGATGAGAATCTAGCTACATCTGACCAAAGGTTTCCCACTGAGACCAAAAGTGTTCTATCAGCAAGATGTCTGTCTTTATACTTGCTAGAGAAATTCACTTCTGTTTCCCGTCTTCTTTGTAGGTTTTCAACGTCTTCACAGATGAGACCGCATCGCTCAAAGACTCCACTGAATTTGTAGTGTCAGTGAACCCCACAGGGGTGGTGATGTGGTACGTCTCTGCACCTGCCAAATTCAACCTCCGCCAGTTCTATCAAGGGGGCACGCTCCATGGTCGTGTCTATGATGATCGTGAGGAAAATGCCATTCCACGGGTTTTCCTCTGACCACTCACAGACCCCACTTTCTAATCCTTAAATTTTTGTCTTTTACCTCAGTAGTAATGTCTTGATGATCGAATGATTTGTTTCTATCTAAGCACAGGTGCAGGCGCATAGCTCTGAACTGTGTTTTACAATTGCCTCTTCCACGTAAGGACATGCTTGAAACTCAGGGTCATCCACTTTACATCTGTATATGGCACAAATGTGCTCTTGTTGATGTGATCTCCAGCTGGATCTTCACTTGAAAGTAACTGGGCCAAAAGAGTTTCTGTGCTCAACAGTAAAGAGAGATGATGATTTGAAAGTTTTATCTGAGATGTGCCAAAGCACAGTCACTGATCCCAGATCGGCACTGTGACTGAGAGGTCTTCACTTGTCTTAGATTTTGTTTTTTTTTATTAGAGATCAGTCTTTGTCAGCTCAGAAAGACTAAAGTGGAAACAAGTTTTAGAAAAAACTCATTAATGACTTATATGTTTTTATGTGACCTAAGTAAACAATTTACAATCAAATTCTCTAAATAAATGAAAACGCTGTATTTCAATTCTTCGGGTTTCCTTTCAGTGATTACACGCTACATACTACAACTACAACTACATAGTACATACAAACATATGCAGCAGAGTGCTTTGATTTTTGCACTATACATCCATATGAGTAATATGGGTTCCAGCCAGCTCCTACAAGCTTTTTCAAAGGTACTAAGATGTTTTTCACTTTTAGCTTTCACTTCCCAGTTCTTTGTCACAAAGTGACATCTCTTAAGGTCAGTTTAGTTCCAGTTCTGTTTTCTATAAAATGTATTTATTTATTTATTTTTTATAATACAAAAAAAACCCCTGTCATCAAGTAGTTCTTGGTATTGAATGCACTTTCACTCTACTGTTATCTAAAGCAGGGCTGTTTACATCATTTTATATCCCCTTAAAACCTGAGCTATGAAGTGATTGCCAGAAAATTCAATTTTTTGGAAAATGGAGAGTTTATTGAACCAACTGACATATTTGTTTAAAAAAAATTTCAATTTTACTTTCCATATATGACTTTTTATTTTTTCCCTATTGCTAACTCTTGCGTTAAAAAAAAAAGCTTAACTTTATTGTGCAATTCATTAACATTTTGCAGTGGGGAAAAATATCCCAATGATGTTAAAATCTCAAAACCTCATAAAAAACTGTGTATTAAATATGATACACTGGGCATTAATGAGTTAAAATTGACCCATTTTCCCATTAACTTAGAAACAAGCAAAACAAAAAAAATTTCAATATAAAGAAATTTAAACCCTGAAATGTCTCAAGTAAAAGAAATACAAGTCCATTGTTACGTCTTAGTATTTTTTACACTTTATAAATTAAACACAGTTGTAGTAAGTCAAATTAAGCTCCCAGCACGATGCTTTGGGCTTAAATTTTAGAAATACAAAAAAAGACAATGTCAAGTATTTGTGAAGTAATTACATCACTACATCTTTACTGTTAACTGACAAAGAGAAAATGTCCTTTTTACTGTGAACCAACTTTGAAAAGATACATTTCCATATTAACTAGTAACAAAACTGTCAAAACTAGTTAAATGTGTAAATTTGTGCCTTCCTCCTTTGCATTTCTCATCGTCTAATATAGCCTATCGTTAGCAACGTGAAGTCTTTTTAACTTTGAATTAATAAATGATCACTCAAGGACCCTCTTGTGGTTTGGTACCTATATACAGAAATGTAACATACAGATTTGGTTGGCAGACAAAGGCACCGAACATACAAAGAAAAACCCATAATTTAGCTAACATACACTCAGAGTCAACCCTATATGCAGCCAGCAGAGGTCAGCACTGCTCTTCAGTCTGTCTCGGCCTTCTCGCCACTGCCAAAAAGTGCACCTGCTTAACAGTGCAAGGACAATCAGCCCATTCTGCTTTGTCCTTTTTCTCTCGATTATGCTTTCCTCTCTGACGTCATCTTCTCTAATTTGGACACTTGTACTACAATGTATTAACTTATTTCATACTTTATTTTGTCCTTGAATTCTTCCAGTGAGCATCATCCGTTAATTCCTTCATTGTATTCATTCTGTCTCCTCATCTTTGCTCCTCCCTTCTCTCCTCCTCCTCCCACTCGGCTCTTTCAGCTCAATCTTGCGCGTATCACCTCTGACCTTGGCCTTAAAGCCAGTGTTTGCCCACCGATTCAAGATGCTGAAGTAGTCACGTGACTGTGGGCATTGGCATGCACGCTGCTGCGTGTGGATTGAAATGAATGACGGTGACACACACACACACACCTCCCCTTTAGGTCAATTCAGGCTAGATTGGCTTTGTGTACGTCTGTGCTGTTGCATCCGTGTGGGAAAGCGGATCATTGTCTTCTGTTCTTCCCCATTCAGTCATCTCAGATATCCTTTGCCTGGCAGAGCACGGCATCTCTCACTGTCCAGGTCCCTGCAGTTTTTCTGTGAAAGAAGGGGAGTTAGATGATAGAAAGAATGAGAGAACAGAGGAAGAAGGATTTGGGCATAGGCAGAAGGGGGGGCCTCTCAAAAGTCTATTTGAAAGTGCAAATGAGCAGAGGAGGGGGTGAATGGGAGAGATGAGAGAAAGAGAGAGAAAGAGAACGAGGGAATGAGTGAGGGAGGGGGCTGAGATGAGGAGAGCGTTCCTGCCGATGCTCACGTAGGCCACAGCTGCAGAGACGCAGTTACCACTCTCATCTTTGTGCCCCCGCAACACCAACAGCCCTGATTCAATTCTCTTGGTCCCCCCCCCCTCTCCCTCACCATCACGCTCATTTCCGTCCCGCTGCTAGTCACACTCTCTGCCTCGCGCCTCCAAAATCCAATACAGATGAAGGGGTATTTGACGACCGCGCCGGTACGAACGACATGCAGATGGGAGTTTAGATATAGGTCAGAATACATACAAGGTCTCAAAGGGGGCCACATGCTCAAAACGTAATAGGTGCTGCTACAGAAAAAGAAAGTGATCACGCTGTGGCTCTTTTGTGTCTGCCCTGTTACCTAACACATTCCTGCCTGCGCGCTGACACAAAAACCTGCAGTTTTCTAGAGAAGCAGAGACAGCGAGTACGATTTGTGTGCACAGAGACAGAAACGCTGCCGTCGTGCATCTCAGATTAGCCTGATGACATCATCACCCCATCTCATGCTGCCAGTCTGCTTGGCTGGTGGCTGATTCCTGACATCACCGCGCTGTCGTCCGATCCAATTCAGAAAAGGAGCTACACATTGCTACGTGCTCCCTCTCCATTCCTCATGGTGTTATGCCTTTTTTTTTGGGCTCCTGTGGCCATTTTAAACAATATTAAACATGCCCCTGTTATTTTTTTCTTTTTAATCGTCAGACATGTAAAGAATAATGTCACAATAGAACAGCATTAATGTGATAGAGTTATGAAAAGAAGGTGAATAATTAGAAAAATGTGATGGACCTGAAACCTTAATTTCATGCATAAAGTCTGATTTTCATTGTGTGCATATGAAAACAGCTAACAATTATTCATCCTTTACTCACATTAGGGAAAAGGGGGGCAGAGGGAAAACATATCTTCTTGTCTTTAGCTTTCTTTCTCATTTGCTGTTGAGGTAGTCTCTTAAAGCTGACTGACTATAACAGCTGAATGTATTAAAAGATTATTAAGCTGTTGTTGTTGTTGCAGACACCAAAAAAAGTCTGCAAATTTGCTGCCATACCATCTTTTTCAAACCCAGAGAGAACTCTAGTCCACATCACCAGGCTGCCTTCTCAAGTTTTAATGTTTAGACGAGAGTTTTTGGTTAAAGTGACCATTCATTCGTCATTTCCTGTCGGTGGACATTTCCTGGACTGGACACCCGTTTTTTATTTTAAGCAATCATGGAAAGCTTGAAAGGTATTACTTAACAGACATGTGTTGCAATCCCACTCCTGCCTCTGGTGCCGCTTTGACGTCCTTATTCCTCCTACTTTTACTCGCTCATGCATTACTCAAAGACCAGATACCTCCAGCTCTGGTCACAATGGCTTACATTACATTGTTGTGTTGGTCTCTGTGTCCCTCATAAAGCATAGCACAGTGTTCAGGCCCCAGAAAAAAACACTTTGATCTGCCTCCACCTTTAGACCGAAAGTAGTCAACCATTAAATTAGTATGAGTTTGGATTCCCGGTGGAGATTGTTCTGCCCTGTTCTGCCTTTATGGCTTTTATAGCAAAGGATGCCCTGCTGACTGTATGGAGACTCTATATATGTGCCGTTGTATTCCAAGACATGTATAGCCAATATCTTCAGGAAGTGCATATGTGCATAATTGCTTCATGTGTTATGTCTGAAATGGATATAAAGCTGATAAACTGATTCATCTATGCCTCATCACAGTGTAGATTTCCATACTTCTAGATGTAATCACGAGACTATGTAGTCAGAATTTTTTATGAATGAATGTCTGGATTCGTCCACCAGTGGCTGCTGTTGACTCAGTAACAGACGCACCCGGTAACAGTTTCTGTGTACGAGGCAGGCTGCACGTTGCCGAAGCACTGCGCGCATGCCAACTGGACAGACTGTCAGCTGCTTTCTTACTGGCAGTCTGTGTAGGTCAAAGTCAGACTGTGGCCAATACTGCTCACTCTGCTTCTCTCTTACACACACACATACACAGAGTCGTGATCTCATTCTTTCCCTTTAACTTTATATCTCTCCTTCTTGACTTTGAACTCACATTCACACACTTAACCTCTAATTTTCTCCCACTTGATCCTTTTGCTGAACACACAAATCATCTACTGTATATCCTGGATCACATTTACATTTATAAAGGTGTGTGTGGTCATTGCAGTCCCTCGGTTTATACACTGTGTGAGGTTTCAGATCCCGATGCCTTTCTGAGCAGCAGAATAAAACTCAGTCAGGCTGGCTGGCTGGTGTGCTGGAGCTGAGCACAGTCTTCCAGCTGCTGGGTTTAGTCCAAACTGGCTTCAAGTAGAATGGCTGGAAGAGACTGGAAAGATCAAGTGGAATTCTTGTGAGTTTGCATGTGTGTATTTAGATAGGGTCACATTAAAAGAGGTCTGACTTTCCGATTTCCAGGTGATATCTGATAAGCATTCACACAGCAACAATTTGTTAGGTAACATGATGCTATTTGAGCTGCTGCTGATAATGGGGTTTGGAGTAAAGCCCTGTAATAAAACGCAGCATGATGCTGTAGAAACTTTGAACAGATTAGTTGGCAAAAAGAAGTCATGTGCGGGTGTGCATTTCTCGGGGGCGGTGGAATAAAAATAGAGACGTGATCGGTCAACAATGCTTCTCTTCTAACCTTCAGTCTGAACTGTGAATATCCATGTGCATGATTTTCTGTGCTATTTTTGTTTGTGTCTGTCAGCATTTAAACTTTCTCTTTTTTTTATACCGGTGGATTCTTCAGCTGATTGGCCTTCGTGATTGTCATCCCCTCTCCTTTAGCTTGTTGGGCTGCTTGTTACCAGGACCAATTGTTGCCTGCTGACCTGACAATCTGTCATTTGTTTACACAGTAGCACTGCTATAAAC